ACAGTGAAGGCTATAAAACGAGTTTTTCACAATTCAAGTCTTAGTGCATTGATGCGTCAAAATAGTCAAAACATTTACATCACTATTACTAGCTCAGATCAATTTGAAGAATTGGCCGGCCCGCCCCTGCTGCTGAAAAAATCAGAGGGGAAACATTGAACCCCATGTTAATTTTTTTATGGAACATCCAAAAGGATCCCACGCTGCTTATTTTGTTTTGTATTTTGTTAGAAGGAGATTATTAGTCTTGCTCTTTTCTGCTTTTTCTCTCTTTGTGTGTGTGTGTGATTTAGAGGTGCCAGTTTCTTAGTGTGATAAGCAGTTGATGAGGAGAGAAGTGTGTACATTGCCCAGTTTATAATATTTTACTGATAATAAGTTTATATACAAAGTATGATCATCCTTAATTGTTATAATATGGTATATTGAGAAATCAGGATACTGCAGCGCCCCCAGTTATAGTCAACTGAAGAGAGAATCCATCCATCCCTCATCTGTACTGAGCCTCTCCAATCCCTGCTGACATTGGAGAGGTGTGATACACACTGGACAGGATGCCAAGGCCCAACATACAGAGACAATATCATTCAGGCAAACTCACGCAGGAGAACATGCAAGGTCCACACAGAAAGGCCCTGAGCGAGCAGGGATTTGTGAATGGAGAATAATTCTGCTAAATGGGTTTACAGTCTGGGCATTACTGCTGTATAATAGAGTATCATAGCACAAAACGGCAGCTGCACTTCACTGTGTCTTTCCACAAGGACGACTCTCTAAATCAAGAATTATACTTTTGCAACAATATCCAACGTATTGTAAACATATGCTTGTTTCCACAACCTTCAACTGGTCTTCATTGGGTTTTCCACCTCACGCTTGCATTACCTGCTATTTTCCAGATTTGAATTATTATTCAGTGGTCATGTTTGGGCCCCAGTTAGAGGGTCGTTGATTTCAAATAAGGAATGCCAATTTTCAAGTATTCCCAGCTGTATATTCCAGCTGTCCGTCTTTTCATGAAAATCTTACACACAGCTCTACCAAGGTCTTCTGGGTCTCTGTTATCATATTGTACAAATCTGAAATGCTGCCAATCTGCAGCAGCTGCAATCTTTTGAGGGAATAACTCGTTTACACTTATGCCAAATTTTTTTTCTTGACTCTGTCTAATCTATGAAAAGTGTGGTCATGTGATGTTAATGAAAATAGCTCTGATCCAGTATCATGGTATGTATTACCACCGTACTACCGACCAATCGGAGCAGTACTCTTAGCATGTAAGGGTCTGTGAACATGAGAAGTGCCGACAGTGTGATAAACTGGCATGCAGGGTGAGAGTTGGGCTGTTAAGCAGGCTGATACAGATGGGCAGTCAGACAGATGGACGGAGCAACAGAAAGGCACACAGACAAGCTGGCTGGTTTACTGTAGAGCCCGACTGCCTGATTACATAAGCAGGTTGACTGGTGGAACAGTTGACCGACTGGATAACAGTCACATAGTCTAAACTCGGCCGACTTATTTTTGTATAAATGTCAAACAGCCGTAGGATCAGGGGGCTTGCTGCATTGGGAGAGAATCAAGGAGAGCAGAAAAACAGGCAGGAGAGATGGATAGAAAGAGATGTAGAAACAGAGATTGGAATATACACTGGAATCATGTCAGTCCATCAATAGTCAGACAGCCACGCAATTACTTCTCATTTCCTGACTTACAATTTTGCTTTGTGTGTGTGTATGTGTGTGTGTGTGTGTGTGTGTGTGTGTGTGTGTGTGTTTGTGCATATGAAATACATTCTCATCTATCTTTTGGTCACTTTTGGTCACAGCATAATTTTATAGTGTGTGTAGTGATGTTTGTGTTTTGGTTTCCAAATGTGTTTTGCCTAAAGGCTCATTTATGATTGTTTGATATGTAAATGGAAGGAGCCCTCTGTCTGTACCCTCCTTTCATTTTGTTAGTATGTGCGTCTTCTGAAAGCTTACAGATACCGATGAAACATACAGCAAAGAGGAGCACCACCTGAAATCATGTGACATACATCATGTGACATTCCTCACTCCCCACAATCATCTACAATACACCCCCACCCTATTTGGCAGTCTATTTAAGCAGAGAAAAATTCCCATCACTCCCTTTGCGTCAGTATTGCTGCCAGTTGCTTCAGCACCTCCACCACCCCAGCATCCACCTGTAGGCTCCGACAGGGGGTTATAAATATTTGCTCATCGCTCCCATCATATCTATGTAATCATATGTGAGGGAGTGATTAAGTCGGAGCCTAGACGCCAAACACTAACATGTTCTTCAGTTGCAATAAACATTTCAACGTGATTTGTCTGACTGAAATATATTCACACGAGAATGCACCTGCTGCCCCCTGTAGTCCATCAAGGTGATTAATCACAACCTTTGACCAGGAAATTCTCTTTGTAGTTGAGACTATAGGAGGTGGACTGCAAAATCAGCACGCAACTCTGACACTACTAATGAAAGAAATGCCTTTGGTATGAAATCCACTGTATCTGTAAACATTTATAACATATGATTTTAAGCTCATACATGAGATTCAAGGGGTGTGAAGGTAAATGTAATTAATGTAATTACTTTTTCAACAACAACACAGAAGTCAACTTGAGTTTTTTGTTATGAACGAAACAAGCACAAACAGTAATAATCAACACAACTTAACAAATCATCCACTACAACATGCAATTATCTGATGAATCATAATATTCACATAGTATACCAGGCATTTAAATCTGTTCACAGAAATTGAAAAATATTAGCATGTCCTACAGGTGTGGACAGTGTATGACATTTAATTAGCCTTTAGTCACAGGGATCTGAATGCTCAGTGTCTAAAAGTACTGAAAAACTAATTTTGTTGACCGGGTCAATGGATATGATCGAAGGGAAAAGAGAGAGAGGTGACAGACACTATTGTGGCTAAAATCTCATTAACACCTGTCAGAAGAAAAACATTTCTCTTCTTCCTCACCTCCTTTTTTTCTCATCTTTTAGCTTGTTTCTCCGCAAACCTCACACCCTTGTCCTTCCTCAATTCCTTCTGTCTTCTCTCTTCTTGGCATCTCTCTTTCTGTTTGTCTCTTTTCATATTCTCCCATCGTCCATTCATCTCCGTCTTTTGTGCCCTTGCTTTGTAGCCAGAGAATTAAACTCATTTTTTCCACTGTCCTCTGGGATGCCTGTTATTTACACGGCTCCCTCTTTCCTCTTTTTTTTTTGTTTTTCGTCCACCTTAATTTTTTCAAACAACTTTCTGTGTCTGCCTCTTTCCAGCTTTCACTGTCATCTTGTTTGTGTCGCCCCATCCCTCATCTGTCCTTGGACTATGTAAGCATTTGAATCCTGTGCAGATGTCTGTCTTTAAATCCCTTTTATTTTTCTCGCATTTTCTAAATTTCCAGATATTTTTTTCACTTCTCACCTTCCATTGTTGTGTATGTTTGTGTGCCATGAACCAAGGAGAAAATGATTGTCTAAACTTGTTATGTTACACTGCATTACAGTTTGTTCACTTTCATGGACACTCAAAGTAAAATTTGTCATTTCATGCTTTTAGATTTTCTGCTCTTCTTGTGTCAAAAAGTGAAAATTAAAAGTATAGTAACTGAAAATGTAATCTGTAGATACAATTGCATAAAATATGTTCAATATTATTTTATTCATTTTATAACATCCTTTTGTCACTGCTTGCTCAGGTCTAGTTCACGGTGGCAGCAGGTTAAGTGAGGTAGCTCAGACGTTTTTCAAGCTCGTAGCCTCATCATATCAGGCACATCACGCTCTGAGGTCCCTACACAGTGAGAGTTCTGCAGTTAACTAATGACGTCCTTGCCCTTCCAACTAAAGGTGGGCTCAGACTCAGAAGAAGTGCGTGTTTATCCTCACTCTTTGTACCCAGGGTGAAGGTCTGAGCACACTGCAGGTCTTTTAGAAACATGAGATAAGAGTCCTTCAGCTGGGGCACAATTGGCTTCCAACCCAGAAGGGGGCATTCTAGAGGCTGAAATTCATCCTGAACTTTCTCTCTCATCTGCATTCCAGCATGCACTGGAGGTCAGGGTGTCGATAAAGCTCACAGAGCTCCTTCATATGTAATGACTTATCAACACTGACACCTGAAAACAGGTCAAAGGTCTCAACCTTTGGAGAGTCTGATACCTGGAGGCAGTGCATTTGTCTGTTGACGTTGTACACTTCAAAAATATTGAGTTGAAGGTGGGTTTGGGATTCACATTTTTTGCTTCAAGGCGGTGACTAAAATAAATGTTTTTGTGGATGTTGGTGTAGCCTTGAAATGATGTGATTCAATGCTAGAACATAAGTAAAGTGTTAGTTTGTCCACTATATAAAAGTGTTTTCTTCGTATAGACAGTTATCTATACTGTAGATCTATTGTTATCTATGCTCTTCATCTCTTGTAATTTCACCTCTCTGTTTTGTCAAATTTATTTATATGCAATACATATTCTCTTTGCTTTAAACCATCAAGCTAGCACAAGCTCCTGTGAAATCACAATCTCACCTCGCTGCATCAGTCAAACCGGACGGACTCTTTCTCTGACATGTAGGTGTGACTGTTTTAGTGTAAATCACAGTATGTGTCCACGCTTATGACACGGCTGGTTAGATAGGTAAGTGGCGTATCTAAGATTTATTTTTACAGGGGGGGAAAATCACTCTCTTCTTCAGCGGACGAGGGAGCAGTAAACCTGCGAGCAGCAGGTGTCAGGAAAACAGAAAAGGGAAAGGTCTTGCAGGAAACCGATCTCAGGCCAGCAGTGATCTTTATGGCTTTAGGGCCAGCGGTCCACACCGCAGCATCAACACTGTATTTTACTGTCACATACTTATTTATTTTGCTGTGGTTCAGGTTTTCAGATCTGATGTTGCCTCATTGTTTTCTCTCAGAAGTCAACAGTCGTGCTGTGTTTCACAGATGTATTTTTCATGCATTTCTTTGTGTTTTCCAGGTTGTCAGGATTCATGCTGCCCTCCCCTATAGTCAGCAGCGGATCTATATTGGCCTTGTGGTTTACCACAGACTTTGCCGTCAGTGCTCAGGGCTTCAAAGCTGTTTACGAAGGTAAGATCATGTGTGAGTGTGCATTGCCATGTGTTACTGCTGGTCATGATACAAAGGAAATAGTGTGGATGGGTTTGAATTGTAAAGCAATTGGACAATGTTGGAACATGTGATGGAATAATATCACGTTCAAAGGGGATAAGAAACACAATATGCAACATAAAATGAAAGTAAGGCTGGATTGTGCCTGAGTTTCTGCAAGTCCTAAAAAGTTTTATAAAGTGTTATATCCATCAACCTGAAATACACAATATCCTAAATACAATTACAACAGGTCTTAAATTGATTGGACTGATTAGTTTTTTTTTTAAATGGACATAACTTTCATAAAGATGAACTGCCGTCATTGTCATTTTAAAATGTTTAATTCTATTAAGATGTGTTGTTGTGCTTTTCAAAAGCTATTTGTTGAGGTAAATATTATGAAATATTAATTCTCATCTTAAAAACTCTTAAATGTAACTTGCTGAAATCTGTAGAAACCTAAGTTACTGATTGTAAATATTGCTGATTAAGAACATAAGGATTCATAACATCTGCTTTATTGAGAAATTCGATTTTTTCATCACAAAACATTGAAGTGGCTAGAAAAGGAAATGGCAGTTGCCTTGTGTGACTTTAATGTCATGCTGTAGGTGGAGTAGATGGTAGCGTTTCACACTGGTTTCTATTGAGTAGAACACCATCAGTGTGCGTCTTAATTGGAATTACTTTCAGAAATTAGAAAGACCTTTTTAATAGACTCTGTGTTGGTTTACAGGAGTGAAAAATCAGGGAATGAGTTCTGTTGATCAAAATGTGTTGAGTCAGCAGCGATGTATATGCAGCAAATGTCTCTGGACTCAAGGTGAAATTGTAGAGGGAAGCTTTACTTCTGATTTATGATAATGACTGTTGATGTTAATAGTTCTGTGTGGGCGATTCTTGGCTGGCAGCCGGGAGCTGCTATCTTGGTTGTCCCTCCATCAGTGGGGACTATATATTATATATGCAGTTATAATCTGTTGGTCAAGTGTCCTGTATTCTTAGTCCTGCACAAAGAGATGCATATTCACATTAGTGCTTCCTGACTGCATGATGTCTGATTGGTGCTATGAACATAGTATACAAGACTGTTGCATGTCGGCATTGCCAGTTGGGATGCTGCACAAATGCTTAGTCTGACCTTTTGAAAACACACACGCACACACACACACACACACACACACACACACACACACACACACACACACACACGCACTACATTAAGCTTGTGTAACAGTTCATCTATGAATCATGAACTCTAAATATCAAACACAAACTCAAGAGACCAGATATGCACTGTTGCTCCTCTTTCTATCTCTCTTTCTGTATGTGTGTGTGTGTGTGTGTGTGTGTATAGCCTTTTCACCTTTCTCTCACTGTTAATTATTTTGTTTTGGTGTGTGTGTGCCTTTTGTTCGTGTTTGCGTTTGTGTGTTAAAGCAAACCTGACAGCCATTAAACCTTTTTTCTGGGAAGTGCTTTGTCTTTATTTTTTCTTTCCACTGTTCTGTTTCACATCTGTTGGGACCTCTAAGTGTGTTTATTGCCTCAGGAGTGATTTTGCTTATGCGTGTGTGAGTACGTGCGATGTGGCTGTTTAACTGACAGTTCTTTTGGCTAATGTCCTTTTTTCTACATAGCTTTGTTTTTGCATTGATTCCCAAGACATAAAGAATTGATTCGTGTCAGTGTGAATGTGTGAGTGTTTGTGTATTTGTGGCTGTGAAAAGAAAATGACATTTATGCATCAAAACATGACATTTATCAAGTCATTTGGTTTTGTGCGTGTGTGTGTGTGTGTGTGTGTGAGATCAGTCATCAATCATGTGATCAGTCCCTGCAACCTCCAGCTAACTGGTTAGCTGTCTACTCCATCTGTGTGTTACCGGTGTTTATTTAGAGCAAAGACATACAGGATAGAGTGAACATTGGCAACAGTAATAAAAAAATAAAGACAAATGAAACCCTCAATGCAAACAGATGTATATTGCAGATTTGATGAAGTATGAAGAAACAAATGAGGCTGTTGATTTCGGAGTCACACAGCAGGACGTCAGATGAAAGATTAACTGTGCCTCTTAACACTCAGGGCTTGTTATTTGTGCAAATTGCAATTATATAAAGAAGGCAGATTTTTGGGCAAAGTTAATCTATTTACACTGCTCAAAGATTGTATCCCTCAAATAATAAACAGTTCTCACACACCATATCCCCGCAATTCACCAAGACATTGTACATGTACATTGAGGGTGTGACTGCATGTTCAGTGCAGCAAGTGGAAGGATATCATTCAGTTGATGTGTGATGCTGATTTCAGAGATTTTAAGAAAGTGCTTCAGACTTATACCTCATTTCAATACATTACATTCAACTATTACTTGAATCTAGAACGTTGATAAAAAACAACTTAGCCATAGCTTTTCTGCGGAGTTTCATCCGAGCAGAAAAAAAAGTGTCACCAGTCTTGTTGTTAGAATCATCTCTGTTATATCTTGTACCTTATCTCAGTTATGTTATTGAAGCAGGAGAACTGGTACATTTAAATAAGCTGCTACATGAATCCCATTAACTGACTATAGTGAGTATAAAAGTGCCTGAGTTACAGAATCATAACCTTGAACCATGGGCACAAGTGAGATGTTTAGATCTCATGTCATCGCACGTTTTATTTCACAGTAAATACCTCACTGTGTATGGTACAGTCACACACACCCACGCCTCACATCTCCTTTGTGTCCTGGCTCAACTGTTAATTTAAAGAAATGTTTCTGGGGCATAGTTTTGCACTTTAATTGCCTTCAGTGGTTGTGCCTTTGTATTTCTGCTATTGTCCATCTTGTTGCTATGGCTTCCAACTGCGCTTCCCACTGCAACTACTTTTTCCATATCAGAAAAAAAAATCTAACTTAATTCTGCATCCCTGACTTAGAGAAATAACTGTTATATTTTTTTCCAACATTTTCTTACCCTCCTTTAATTTTTGATTTTTTTTATTCAAGGTCTCTATCTGTGGTTCTCTTTATTCAAACTAATTCACACTGACAAAGAATCTGTTGAGCCCATGTCTCCTTATTGTCTTTAACAACCTGCCTCCCTTGTCTGTCTGCACCTCTGTTAACATACCCTGTTCACACATCCTCTGTGTTCCATCCCTTTATTAAAAGAGACTTCTTTTTTTGAACCATGAGTCTGAACATATAGTTAACTGATCAGATCCCAGTTGCATGAGAGAGGAATGGATGGAAAGAGAGACAGAGAAAAGGAGTGTGGGTCAAATGTAGCTATGTGTGCTAGAAAATGAGGCCTTACTGATTGAGAAAAGCAAGTTTGCAATCCAGCTCTGCAAGACAAGATAATCATCAATAAATTTCCCCTCAAGCAGAAAGAGAGAGTGAAATAAATAGAGAGAGAGAGAGAGAGAGAGAGAGGTGTGAAGAGATGAACTTAAAGAGAGAGAGGCGTGGAAAGAGAAGTGGCTTGGGAGACGAACAGGGAGTAGATTGACATTAGGAGTGGATCTTATATCTGTGTATACTTGTAGTGTGTTGTCTTACCACATGAGGGTTGAACACAACACCATCCAAGATTACAAATGTCTCGACATTATCATACAATTTCATTTCAGTGTCTTTCAGACAGAACCTTGGGTGACCCTAGTAGTTAGTGGACAAGGTTCTGACACAGATCCCCTCCAAGTTACCTTGTAGGTATGGTCTTTGAGGTCGAATGTGAGCAGGGACAGTGCAGAGCCTGAGACACCCTGATCCTGAAGGGAGGAAATAAGGATCTGGTGGTTCACCGTGCCAAATGCAGCAGAAAGGTCCAGAAGGATGACCACAGAGAGAGAGGGAAGTCTCAGCTGAGTGGCCTGCCTTGAAACCAGACTGGTGAGGATCAAGAAGGTTGTTCTGGTGAAGAGAGGAAGAGTTGAAGTCGCTCAAGTGCTTTGGAGAGAAAAGGAAGAAGAGAGACAGGTCTGTGGTTGTAAACGTCAGACAGGTTGATTGTGGGTTTTTTGAGGAAAGGGTTTACTCTTTCCTCTTCAAGAGAACTAAGTAAACAGCCAGTTGACAAGGTAACACTTACTATGATGGGTGAGAAAAGGAAGAAGGTCAGGAGCAATAGACTGGAGATGGATGGTGTCAAGGGGGCAGCTGGTTGGGCGGGCGGAGGTTACCAGGGTAAGAAGTTGATTAGGGGAGACGGGGGTGAAAAAGGATAGAGTAGGGGATGAATCTTCATCAGAAACTCACTGAAATAAAAGACATATCACGGAGATGCAACATCTGAATGTTGACCTATATCTTGGTCAGACGAGGGCAAAATTGTCATTCCATTCCTGCAAGAAAAAAAAATCCATGTAGCTCTTACAGGAAAGAGGATTAGAATTAAATGGGCTAACTGCATCTAGACCACTCAGTACAAGATCAACTGTCTCCAGATGTTCATCTTTCAAATCATTATGCTGTAGACACTGGGTTCTTTCTAACTATATCATTATAACTTCTAAAAGGTAAACCTTCTCTGAGCTCTGGCAATTATGACATAAATTAAGTTCTAAATAGAAGATGCGAGCCATATATGGTCAAAGTAATTCATCACGTCCAAATTGGATTTGTAAATGGGAGATTTACCTCAAACATTATCAGACTGCGCCCTGCAGCTCCATCAGCTTGGACGTGCAAAGAGCATTCAGTGGGATGGGTTGGAAATACCTATGGGGGCATTTTTAGAAATTTGGACTTGGCAGACAAAAAAACAAAAGAAATCACTGTTCCTTGTGCTGTTGTACAAATAGCTAGTATTCCAACTGCATGGCACTCGTTCAAGGCTGCTCATTATCCCCACTGCTTTTTGGAGTGTCACTGGAATGGCTCTCCCAGATAATTACTTAATCTTCACATCTCATCCATCAATAGACAAGGTACAGAACAGAAGTCTTTCTTTACAACCAATGTATTGCTCTACTTTTGTAT